TGACATTTTGCAAAAGAAGTAGGTTTTTTTTGAATGTTTATGCTAACAAACGAGCTGTCAGTCCACCTGAATGTAAGTGGTCACTGCCGCCCATGGATATTCATGCGTTGCCAGTTCTGAAGAAAAAAGGTTTACCCGTCTTTTGAAGACCGTCATATTATAGCTAAGAGGGAAAACCGCTGAGGGAAGTTCGTTCTAGATCTTGCTGCTTGTACGCAAGAAAAAGAAACGCGCGTAACGCATGGTGCTACAACGCATAACATAAAAAGAATGGAAATAAATTTAAAAAACAAACTTTTCAGTCATTCATTAAATTATTTTTTCTGGTAATACAACATTGTCTTTGATCCTGCTGCGACGATATAAAGTCGGAGAAAATATACTTAATTGGTAAATAAAATCTATTTTTAGAAGACTTATAATTTCATCTTTTGTATCATTTACGTTCCCTTAATTGAAATGAAAATATAAAATTAACTAATCAAATAATTAGCAACTTATGTGGGTTCATATTAAGTTTCTTGAAATTGAGTTATGTTTACGATGAGGAAAAATATTTTCCACTTTTCAGTCCTGACAATGAATCCTTATAGTTTCGTCAAGGGCGTGTGTCTGTCCGTCCTAAGTTTTGCTTGGAGCCTGTTTGGACTAGAGTAATATTTTTTAGGGTAGCTCCCCTACATGTTAGCTGGAGATGGTATTATTTTTTCATCGTCTACCCCATTTTGTTGGATATCGTTGAATAGGTGCTCTTAAATTAGTTAAGGGTTCCTAAGACTATTTTGCTATTAAGGGATCTGTTTGCAAAATATTGAAGTTTAATGTGCTAATTTTCCCCCTTTCTAAAAGCTTAACTATTGGCTTGAAAAACCTGGGAAAATTCATGATAATAAATAAGGCTTTTCATGACGTTTTAAAGAAAGTTATAACGGGTAAAATAAATTTGTTACTTTAAGATTAATAGTCGTTCAACTTATGTATTAAAAATTCCTGACGTGTTTATTTTTCTTTTTTTTTCTTATTATATATTTTTGGTTCTCTGTCATAGAAAGGCATTATATTATAGTACTAGTGGCCCGGCCTCGCTTCGCTTCGGTGTAGAGCTATAGTGTAGACTAAAATGACTCTTCATATAATTATAAAAAAAAAACTGAAAATTTTATATTTGCCTTTTCCAAACTTCTATTGACATCACGTCACTCAATTATTTTGCCTTCCCGGAACCTCTTCACTTACATTTGAAATTTATGGTATGGTATTAAAGTTCAAATTGATTTTCAAGTATTATAACGAATCGTTTGTATGGGAGTAAAGAAAAGTGTTTTTGGACTGTTTCAGGCATTTTTTTAATTATTTCTCTGCGTAAGAACCATCCTCGTACTTCAAGGAATATTCTAAAAAAATAATTATCGACATCGGTTCAGCTGTTCTCGAGATTTGCGCTTAGCAACACATTGTGGTGGCGACGGGCAACTACGGAACCCTACACTGCGCTTGGCACTACACGCACTTGGCCGGTGTTTTTGATTTAGAGCTTAGATCCCGGACCTCTAAGTAGGTGACACATTGAAACCGGGCGTAAGTACAAACCACTCGGCCATGGAGGTCGTCAAATGGAGATGGGCAATGAATCTTTGCCAACGAGAAAATGTTTTGGATCATCCTACATTAATCCTGTCCTAGCACCAAGCTACTTGAACTTCTTCTTGCTTTTATTATTATTAAGAATTTTTGTCACCAGAAGAGACTTTCAATTAGTAAAAAGTTACAACAAAGGCATGGCATGAATGTTTCCAAAATGTATTTATTCATTTGAAAATATGAATTGACGATGAAGCAAAACATTTTAGGTAATGCGTAAGTACACAAAGTTATCTGTAATTTTATCATCGTCTTCATTTGACATGTTAGAGTTTTCAAAAGAATCGAATGTCAAAGACATCAGTGATTGATAAAAAAATACAATTACTTACCCCATTATCTTCATGGATCAGGAAAAACGTTAAGGAAAAAACTTAAATAAAGAATAAAAAGTATTGTTCCTATGTAGTAAAAATAATTTGTGTATTCTGGTTCTACGTTGCTTTTACACAAACGGAAACAAAGAAATCGAAACGGAACGAATTCAATAAAGATCAGCTATTTTATGCGAATTCCCCGAAGGTCTTTACAGAAGACGCAGTGAAATAATACTTTTTTTATTATACTTATAGGGAATTCTGTTTTGGTGATGTAGCGTCAAATCTCCACGAGGTGTAGGACACATAGCTAGTTTTTTAGGGTTCCGTACCTCAAAAGGAAAAAACGGATCCCTTATAGGACCACTTTGTTGTCCGTACGTCCGTCTGTCTGTCAAGACCGTTTTCCTCTTGAACGCGTGAAGGTATCAAACTGAAATTCATATTTAATACTCAGGTCCACTGTAACTTGGAGCTGTGAAAAAATCAAACTTCTAAGTCAAAGCAATCAAAAGATACAGCCGTTTATGCCGCAAATTTTCGAAACTGGCACGGGAATCAAAACCTACAGCCACTTCCCGTGAACTTACAATCTTGACATTTGGTACGAATTAACGTCTTATAGTACAGATAAAGGAAAATTGCGAAAACCATAAATTTTTAGTTACATCATATAATAAAAAATATTTTACCAAATATACCTACAGGTTTGTACGGAACCCTCGGTGCGCGAGTCCGACTCGCACTTGGCCGATTTTTTGAGGGGTAAGGTATATTGGGTTTAATTCAGCCTAGTGAGGATGGTTGAAGCTAATATTTTTTGTCGCACGCACCTGCTATCATGCAACCGGTTGCCACTTTGAAAGTATCCGACGAATTAATAAAAAATTTATTCGAGTGTCTTGAAACACTCGGACGGAACAAAGTCAAAAATATTAAGGCCCACTTACAACTAAGTTCTTAATACAAGTTCGAAAGCAAATTATACTTAAGCAATCGACAAGGATGGAATGATGTGTGACATGATTAATAAATAAATAAATATTTCCAATACTCACACCAATTAGCCTATCCCCAAAGTAAGCACTGTAAGGCTTGTGTTATGGGATACTAGGGTAACGATAGATTACATATATAAGTATATTTATGTAGAAATACATATTAAACATTAACTGGATAACAAATGCTCGAAATCATCACACAAACATCTGCCCCCACCGAGATTCGAACCCGGGACTTTTCAAGTCGGCGACACCACGAAACCCAGCGAACAAACCACTCGGCCATGGAGATCGTCAAATTTAAGCCATAATTTAATTAAAATGAAGAATTTTGGTGCAAGTGTGTCTTATACATTACCACCCACCAATCCTCAGCGGATCACCCGAGCGAGTCATAGCCCAATCTTCCTATTTCATAAAAAAAGTATCCTACCCACCAATCAGCATTGGGATTGCCAATTACCGATATACGGATTGGGCCCAGTGAGGTTTGAGCCCAGTTCGGATTAGGCCCAGTGCGGATTGGGCTCCTATTTCATAAAAAAGTACTTATCCCACCCACCAATCTGCACTGGGGTCGTGGTGGATCATGGCCTGATCGCCGATTCCGTCAAAATTATAACAAAACTTTAAACTAGGTCCACAACCACCGCCACCATTGGTCGCCCACCTAGTTATCCATCTAGCTACCTGCCCAGCTGCCTAGCTAGCTAGCTACCTCGCTAGATTGTGACGGAAAAATCTTAAAAAAAAATCGCTTAGCCCACATCCGCCATTCCATCCGAAAAGGAACTTTGTTGCAATATTCATTGCTCATGCTCTGATCCCAAAATAAGTAGCTGAAGCACATCATCATTATATCAGATGTAGGACGTACAAGCATAGGCCTCGCATCCATCGGCTTCCCGCGACCTTTACAAGATCGTCGGTCTACCTCGTAGGCGGCCTGCCTACTGAGCATCGTCCGGTGCGTCGTTCCATTCTGCGTGTCCCGCCCACTGTCGCTTCAGCAGAGCAATCCTTCGAGCGATATCGCTAACTTTGGTTCTCCTACGGATTTCCACATTTCTGAATCTATCGCGTAGGGAAATACCGAGCACGTTCTCTCCATTGCTCGCTGTGTGACCTTGAGCCTTCTTATGAGACCCTCAGTAAAGGACCACGTTTCGCTTCCATAGGTCATCACTGGCAACACACACCGGTCAAAGACTTTTGCCTTGAGACACTGAGGTAATTTGCACGCGACAATTTTCCGTAGCTTCCCGAAACCTGCCGATCCGAGCTGGATACGACGAGACCTCATTCTCAAAGTTGGACTTGCTTAACTGGACTATCTGTCCCAGGTAAACTTAATGGTCGACAACTTCGAGTTTAGTGTTCCCTATTTTAACTGGAGCGGGTATTACATGGGCATTGGACATGATTTTCGTCTTATCCATGTTCATCTTTAGACCCGCTCTTTGGGAAGCACTAAGGTCTTCGAACATCGTGTTAAGATGTAAGGGTCTCAGCCATTAGTAATTCACCATCAGCGAAACGAAGGTGTGAAAGGTACTCTCCCCATTGATGTTGTGTTGACGAAAAATGACCCTTTTCTTTTCACTGCTAGACGTTTCTTAATAAGAGTATGAACGAATGAAACTATATCCTTAGTAAGAGCTTAATTTTTAAGTAAGACAATTTGGTACATACTATAGACATATCGTAATTCTAATAGAAATCAATAATAACAACGTGCAACAATTATAAATTTTATTATTTAACTTAACAATTAATATGTCCAACTCTTCTTTATGAAGTTAGTATTAGAGTTGTAATTTAATTTACAAATATTTGAACCGTGTACTGTGGAAATGATAGATGAATGCTTAGGTGCCCACTTTAAGTTAGGTAGTAAGTATAAAATCATATAAAAAATTAATGCATTTAATTACGGAACTACGTCAAAGGGGATTAATAATGTAAACAAAACTCTCGACGGTTGCAATATCAACAAAACTGTGAACATTATTAACACCAACTAAGGGAATATTGTACTCACTTTGCACGCAGTGAGAGCTGGCGATCATTTGGACACACATACTTGTTGCCTTTACTTTGATGGTTCATCGTGAAGGAAATATAAAAAAAAAGATTTTAAAAAGAAAACAACGTGCTCGGGAGGGCGGGAAAACTGCCGCGCCGCGCGTTCCCCTCCGTATCACCAGTCCAACTGTTGCTTCGCGCGTGGCGAGCTCTTAATAATCGATATTTTAACAACACACTGATAGCAGTTGCACTGCTCTTGAAAACATCGACATTATGTTGTGAATACCGCTATTCTTTATCAAAACCCCTGTTGGTACTCTGACGTGTTAACTGATACGCATTCTGATAACCACATCATATTTAGAGCGACATAAATACGGTTTTGAAGGGATTCGGATGACCTAACTAGCTAATTTGCATGGTTAATTTGGCCAATAGTTGGGTTAAGTACTTGAATAGTTACCTTCAATATATTACTAAAATTAGCCTTCTTTGTTGTTGTAGGCAGTTGTCTCACCGCCAGCGAGGAAGCGACCTAACTATCAGTGGAATACTAGGGCTATTTTCGTTTTGTTTTTTACGCACACGAAAAATGAAACTGTAATTGCGACACCGCCACATAATTAATGATATGGTACACCGCTAAATCCTGCACACATATCTCGTTTGTATGCCCAATACGACAGAAGGGAAAGCTTTGTATGCCTACTTCCCCTCCTGGCTGCGTCAGCTGAGTTGTTGTTGTGTATTCATTATAATCATCATCATCAGTATAAGAATGGCCTTACTCACAGATTGCAGATTGGCCTTACTGCTGAGGCACACACCTCCTCTGGTCTGAGGATGGGATAGAGAACGGGCCATGCCACAACATTTGACACTCTCTTCTAAGCACTATGACATCATCCATGATCACCGAACAGACGAACGTTCTATGCCATCAAGATCCTTGACCTGTATTATTTCAATATGTTTTATTTTAAAAGGGTGGCAAACAAAGCATATGGTTTGCCTGATGGTAAGCGGCCACCGACGCAGCGTGAGGCGGCCCCCAACAAGGTGGACTGACGACATCGCCAAATGTGCTGGGAGCCGCTGGATGCGGATAGCGCAGGACCACGCATTTTGGCGTTCTATGGGGGAGGCCTATGTCCAGCTGTGGACGGAGAAAGGCTGATGGATGGATGGATGAAGCGGCCACCATAGACTATAGATAGACACTTGCGATACCAAAAATATCACTCGCGTCGTCTTTGCCTACCCTGATCCAATCCCCAACCCCATGGAGCCCTAGAACTTTACTCACCAACAGAAACACACCAAATGGAAGTGTTATTTAACTGTGATCTTCTGTAAGGTAGATGTTACTTCCCCAGGCGGGCGCTCCAATTCGGGCGGAAAATCCGCCATGCCTTACCTCTTTCTTAAATAACCTTATTACATAAAGGAGAAGCTATTTATTGTAAAATTGTTTTTTTTCTTTGTGGCTTGTAATACCAGCCAGCAACAAGTGTACTTACCTTTACATACCAGTCCACCCCACCTGATCTTAAGTGTAAATGGAATCTGGTCATTAATATAGCACATTTGCCAGAAAATATATCACACCAGTCCCTTGCTGATTTAAACCCAATAATCCCCTAACGCGTGGAGCCACTGGATTATTCCACTATGATAGTCGGATTGTACCGCATAAACTTTCTCACCGACAGAAACTCAACAGACTCAAAAGACAATGTTATTTCACTGCATTCTTTTGTAGGTTACCAAGTCGGTTAAAGTTCTCAAATATAGAAATGCTAAAGACATTTTAACTTTAATACCCATGGACATAGGATTTCGCTCTTGGAGGAGCTTAGAGTTAGTGTTGAGACATTTTTATTGCCTTTGTAGGCAGTCGAACTGACTCTCCACCTGATGTTAAGTAGGTAGTCACCATCGCCCATGGACATCAGCAATGTCAGTAACACAGCCATGCCGTCGCGCTGCCTTTCGTGGAACACTTTTTTGAAGCTTCGTTTGAAGAGGACCGTTCTATAGTACTGGAGACTTTATGGGGGAGGGTACAAATCTGGATCGGATCCTACACCCCAAAAGTCGCCCCTGCTCGCACACACGCCTATCACCCATAATTATATTGCTCCGCTAAACCGTTTCTACCAAAGTTATTGTCCCAAAGCTTTGCTGACCGAGGCAAGATAAATGAAGCGATTTGGTCCTTAAGAAATAAATTCCTCGATACGCATCCTTCACAAGCACGGCACGGAGGAGTATGAGATAATAACATTTTTGGTCATCTATCCTATGACCGGCCCGGCTATTGCGAAAGTTGGTTTATTTCCACCATCGCAGATCGACCGAACTCACTATCACTAATTACTTGCGCCCTTGACTCTTTCTACTATGTTTATTCAATATAATAATGTTGGTACCTGTTATGAAAAATATAAAATCATTCTTATTAAAATGATAAACAACACTTTGTAAATATTGAAATTAAAATGCATCGAATGTATCCAAACGCAATAACGAGAAACTAGCTACCTTAATCTGTGTTTCATTTTGTCTGTCAATATTGTTGTTAGGGCTGCCTGACAAAAATAGTAACGATTTTTTATAACGCGTTATGAATAAAAAATATTATGATATAATATTATTCTTTTCTATTATAATGTCTGATGCTAGCATTTCACATAATTAATTTAGGGGTTTCTTGGATCATTTAAATTCATGAGCAATCTTAGAAGAAATTAATTATATTTAGGGGGATATTATATGCTCTCAAATTTATTAATGAGAAGTAAATACGAATTGCTAAAGAAAAGTACTAGCATGAAATACTGGTGAATTGGTTATAAAAATCTATTTTTTTTAAATGATAATAGATTTTTTGTTTCGTTACTACGTTTTTACCACTTTTTAATGCTGAGATATATTAGTGTGATCACATTAAATAACAATAATTAAAATGTAATAAAAAGTTTATGCTAATTTTATTAAAATTTTATCAAAGTAACTACTTTCAATACAAATTTCAACAGCTGTCTTTAAATTGAATAGGTAATTTTTTGGTCTAGAGGTGTTGTTTAACTTGTATTTAAAGGCCATGTTACATATTTTTTTTTCAATTTGAGAAGTTTTTTATATTTTTACTTAATCTAACAGCATGTTTGTTTGTACTAAAATATTTATTTATCTCCTTTTAAATACTATAGGTATCTTAATAGATGTAGTATCATTAATACACAAGTGATCAACATCCATCGGAAAGAATGATATTTATTATTCAGCCCTTGCATAATGAGGGGTATTAAAACATGAATGTGGTGATAATAGTACCACATTAGAGTTTCTATACTTAATTCTAAACAGTTTCATATAAGACTTATGTATAAAACCTTCATGCCCATGATATGAGTCCTCTATAGAAAGTTCTGAAACCATGGGGTTCTAAGAACTTAAAATTCATGAAAGTTTCGGCGTGGTGTTAGTAAAACGCTCGTGGATGAAAATTTCCTTTTTTTAATACTTATTTATAGATATCACGCTTCCAGAAAAGAATCCAAAAAACGAAGAAGAGTTAGTGTTTGTGTGTGAGTTGGTGTCGTGTTAGGCGGGTCGTTACATTCCCTAAAATATGGTTTAGCGAAGCGATGGCTAGTTCATGCGTCATTTTCGTGAATGGGTGCTGCCAGCGGAGATGAGTCTGCCTTAACTTTTTTGTTTGCTATTGCAGATGTTAATATCCAGTTACACCTAATATATGTAAATAGCACAAATTGTATTTATATTAAATGACACAGCAATCAAAATTCAGATGAACAATTATTGTATATTTCTTATTATGTAATGAAAAGGGACCTCGTGAATCATCTCTGAAGTCATTTTTTAACTTGACGACTCTGTAAATAATAATGCAGGGGAAAAAGCACTTGCTGAGTCTTTTGCCGGTTCTTATCAGTACAGGGTGCCAACGTAGATTTACGAACCGATGGCGTAGCTTCTAGGCATTACTGAGTGCTTGTAACAGCCTGAACTGAATAAATGATTATGATTATTATGGTTATTAAGAAATTTAGTACAAAATTATATCATGCGTTTGAATGATATTATAGTTACTAAGACATTAGTAGTTATAATGTTGGCAATAAGCTAACAGTTGTTAAATATTTTACAAAGGATTTAAAGCTTGAGTGATCATCTAATGACTGTAGTTTTAGTCTCATTAATGCTGCATTCTGCTTTTTATAATTAACACATTAAACTTAACAATACAATAACCGTTATTAATTACAGTTGGTCAGCCCTATTGTATGTTGTGTTTGACAGCTTTGACATTTCACTTTTAGTAATGATGGCGCACTTGCCGAAGGTGGATATTTTTCTGTGATCTTAATTTTTTTGTGGTGTGGTGAAGTGAAAACAAGGATTTTTTGATGTCGTATCGCAGGCGTTTCTCCGCCAAGATGCCGGATTTCGACGACGACGTTACCGTCGTCGATGTGTACGACTTGGCATCGGACATTGGCAAGGAATGCGAAATAATTATTGAAAAATACGGACCTGACGCAGTTACAGCGTTGTTGCCTAAAGTGATAAATGCTCTGGAGCTTTTGGAGAACCTTGCGGTGCGGAATGAGAAAGAAAACCAGGCGTTGCAGGAGCTGTCAGCAAAAATTGCCCAACTGGAGAATGACAAAATTGAGAAGGCCGAGTACAGGCAACGCTTCGAAAAGGTTTGTAGAGGTCATTGTTGAACGAATAAGGTGTTTAGCGCGTGCAGCATAATAGGATTGAACGCACGAAACGCTGGTCCGTTTCGACATATTGTACTGGATGCAGTTGCAAAAGTCTGGCGCTGTTCGCTCGCAGCTCGCATATTGCGCGACATTGACATCACTAACTCGCGTCGAAATGATAATGACTTATTACTCATCTACCCAAGTTTTTCTATTTGCCACGCTATTTGCTCAAAGGCAGTTAATGTAACAGTGTCGGTCAGGTGTATTTGTGACTAAGAACAACATACCTAACTAGTCAATTTTAACCATGGACTATCATTGTTTTATGGGCAAGTTCTCCATGCGGTTAAGTGAGTTTCGAATTTTCTATTTTTTTAATCCAAAGAACAATTTATTAGAAAAAAATCCACACAGTCTAGCTATCAGACAGGAGTCGAACCTGCACCTTCCACAATCCGTGCACTTACAGATTATGCTTCTGAGACCTTTATCACAGTGTCGAATTTCATCTAGTGTTTCTAAGGCTGCAATTCTTTAAGATTTCTATTCAGTAGTAGTATTCTTTAAATATCTTACTCAGGCAACTGCATTCTACTTGCAGTTATCACTGTTGGTGTTGGTGATAGCTGCTTGTTATCTATAGAAATGAGCAATAATAGATTTGTTGGTACATGTTTGTGTGGACTTAAATAGGCCATTAGTATTGCTAATCAAGTTTGAGTTTCAAAAAGAAGAATTGAATATACCTACATAGTGTCATATCTTCGGAGCAGAGTATAAGTTATGATAAAAAAAAAGTTTGTAATTGACAAATTCAAAGCATTTGATCAGAACAAATTGAAAATTGTCATTAATGTATGCAATGTCATAGTAGAGCAAATTTATTGATTGATGAGTATTGTATATCATATCAGGACTATTTTGTAGTAATTTGTAGGGGAGGGGGAGGGGGGGCTCCCCCCCCCCGCCATAAATGATTTTTGGCGGAAATGCAGTTTTTTTTTTACCTTACCTAAAAATTCATAAAATCTGTTATATGTAGTGGAATTTCAGGGGGATAGGTATTAGGGAAGACCCCTCAGAGGGAAGGGTAACCCCCCCCCCCTTCCGGCGTTTTTTTACAGAAATGATAATTATAAAAAATTAGAGGAGTTTTAAAGGTAAATCTGTACTTCCAGCGCCTAGAGGTGATATTTGATTTTTCTGTAGAAAAAGTCTATTAACAAAGTTTTCTTTCTGGCGCTTCGCCGGCCGCTGCCGCGGCACGCTCGCTTCGCTCGCTCGGCTCGCGCGTTAAGGTCACAACACTAACCTAGTGTGAAGTATCACCACTTGGGCCTTAGATATACAGTTTAGCCGTTTAAATAAAACAAGTTTAAACACAAACACTGACTGACAGATCTCATTAATGGCGGTAAATTGTCACATTTTGACAATAGTACCAACATAATAAACTTATATTTACCATAGACAACGAGAAACATGTTATTTTTGCATAAAAAAATGGCAGCACTGATCATGAAAATTGCGAAAAAAAAAAAGTTGTCAAAATTGACTCATAACCTACAAAAATATTAATTTTCAATAATTTTTTTCTCGAGTTCTATTCGTTTCCGCCAAAAAAGATTTCGTGTACGTGTTTTTAATAGTTAATACTTTGCGTGACAAAAATTTCAGCTTGCAACTCAATTACATATAATGGAAAGGTGAGCCGACAAACCAATTAATTTCAGTACCTGATCTCTAGTATCAATTTAATGAAACTAGTAATATTACATCCAATTACCTTTCACTGAGAAAGAACATAGCAAATATTATCTAATTTTTATTTATTGGATCTTACTTTCACTTGTCTGTACTATCATTATTCAATATGTGATAGCTATCTCCATTTTGTGTTGCATGAGAAAGGTTTAAAAAGACAAAGAATATTTGTTATTTTCCTGCATCTGTAGTTTGTGTTTCTCATCTTGTGATTTCTTTTTGAATATTTTTGATTAATTTTAATACAAATCCTTGGTTTTTTTCTCCAACACTGTGCTAGTACAAGATCTGTCCCTGTAGCATGAGCACCACAATATACATTATTCACATTTTTTATTACCTTGAAAAAATATATCAAAGTAATATTAAACTTAGTGATTTGACAATTAAATGTGATAAAAACAAGCTAATAATATGTCATATTATAGTGCTCATGCTAGTGGGGCAAGACTCTGGAGCAGGTTAATGTATATCATTGAATTTATTAAATTGGTGAATTTTTTTTAAATATAACTATACAAACTTTGACATTGGAAATATTGTATTGAAGTTCAAGCACAAAATGATAAAACATTTAATTTCTTGCAGTATACTTACTTACTCTTATGTATTTATTATACTTTGGACCACTTGAACAAATATTCTTGAATCAAATAAAGGCTTTAATCCTTCTTAATAGATCACTCCACCTTTGTAAGTTGTTTAAAGGCAAATAGGGATGTTTTTTATGTGTTTATGCAGGCAAACGAGCTGGTGGTTCATTTGATGCTATGTGGTCACTGCAACAATATTTAATGGGTCACTGTTGCCCATGGACACTTGCTGCACCAAGGGTGCATTTATGCTTTGCCAGCAGATTAAGATTTAAACAAAGAACACAGAAAGAGCAAATGCTCATAACTTGAACAAAACTTGGTTCGAATTGCGTCTTTGCTATCAGGTGTGAGCGCTGATTGGCTCGATTGTTTGATGTACGAGGGAAGGTCAAAAAGTTTGCGGAATAAGAGGGAAGGAGGTTGCAATTAAACACCAAACTATTTTTCCTTTTCAATATATTCTCCCTTAACCCTAATGCATTTTTCAGATCTCTAAAATAACTTGTTTATACTATCGAAAAAAAATGTCTTTGGTGTCAAAATAGGCCAAAATTGCGGACTTCACTTCTTCAACATCGTCAATTTTCTCTCCACGCAGCTCTTTCTTATTTTTTGGAAATAAATAATAGTCTGGACTGTAGGGTGGGTGGTTCAATAGTTCGAAGCCACATCGCTGAATGGCAGCCATCTCAACATGGCACGTGTGAACGGGTGCATTGTCGTGCAGAAGGAGCGCACCTTTTGACAGCTTTCCTCTTCTTTTTTCCTTGATGGCTTCTTTCAATCTTTCCAGTAAAGAAGCGTAGTACTGTCCCGTTATAGTCACAAAACGTTATTTAAAATCGACCAGTAAAATACCTTCTGTATCCCAAAAGACAGTCGCCATGATCTTGCCAGCCGATTGTGTCACTTTGAACTTCTTTAGGGGAGGTGTGCCTTTTTTATGCCACTGCATCGACTATTGCTTTCACTCAGGTTCATAGTGGTGAGCCCAGGTTTCATCACCAGTAACGATTCGGGCCATAACTTCTTCCATTCTTTCTCCACAGACCTCCAAAAACGTGCGAGAACACTCGGAAGTGTAGTGGGGGCGAGTCGGCGACATCGGTTTCCGTGCAAACGGTCTATGATCTTCTTACCTCATTCTGTGTTCTGTGGGTTTAAACATGATTATCTTTTGATTTAAGAACTTTGGTGTATGAACCTTACAATGGCAATAGAATAGACAATAGACTATTAAAAACTAACTTTGATGCAGACGCGCAGGCCAGTATGGCGTCGAAGTCGCGGGACGGAAGCAGGTTATTATTAAAATCAAAGCATGCAGCAATTATTGAGAGAGGTAGGGCTTAGCGGATTTTCCGCTCGAATTGGAACGCCCGTTTGGGGAAATAACCTTCACATACAGATGACCACAGTAGACTTACGGTAACCCTAACGGACGGAAGTGTTGTGTTTCTGTCGGAGAGTAAGGTTCCAGGTCTTCACGGGTTGGGTCAGGGTAGGCAACGACGGGAGGGATATTTTTTGTATCCTCTATAGGTGGCTGTTTACCATCAAGCGGGCCACATGCTGGATTGCCACTCTTTCAATATAAAAAAAAAATATAACTCTCTAACAGTGTAGCTAAGCTTAGTAATTATAGGTAATAGCCCCTATTAGGAGAATATGCCCTATTTAACTTTTGTAGTCAAATGACCTTGAAAATCTTTCTTGTGGCATTAAGATGTTTTTGTATTTATTTTTTTATAGCCAGGCAAATGACTACCCCACCTGATGTTAAGTGGTGATAGAGTCCAAACGCGAAGATAGCTGGTACAGCAGTTATAAACTGCCACACGAACCATCCTCACCTTGCTGGCCTGTAAAAATGCTTCTTCACGCCTCTCTTAAAGGATGGGGTCCTTTGGATGGATTGTAGGAAGGAGGGAACACAGGCGCGGGCATTGAATTCCACTTATTTCACGACGCGACGTTATGTCATGTATACCGTGACATAAGTACGTGATTTATTATCACCATTCACTTGAATGTATAATTATTTTTTCTTTACGTGGCCGTAAGACTAGCATCATTGATTTATTATTTATTCAATATAAACGTACATACAATAATGTGCTATTTGCCTTTACTGCCTGTTTTGTTATACATTTTGTTGAAATTAAAATATTATGAATCACAATGGACTGCAATAATTAGCGTGTACACTAGGTACCTAGTTGGTTCACAAAGAGGAATAAACTACTATTGATCCGCTATTTATTCATTATAGCTCGCGGTATCTTGGTGTATTGAGTTTTCAATTGAGTAATTGGATTGTTAGTTTCCTGCCGTGTACACACAAATGTGTGCTACTGAAGAATCATTGGTACGAACTTTAATCGTTGCATTTTGGTTGTATTCGATCAGTGGCGGTACTCTAGTTTATATCTCGCAGTATTATAGATAAAGCCGTAATATACCTATATCCCTAGGAATATAATTATGTACCGTAATATAGTTCTACGAAAGCGCATCAATTCTATCTTGCTAGGAATATAATAATTATTAAGTTTAGTGATATAATCATATTACTGTTTAAGTTAATTGAAATAAATGTAGGAGTGTAGTGTAGGCACTGCTAGGTAGGATTCG